TATTTTCTTTATGTTTACGTGTGTAATCTGTACTGAAGGTTGAATTGTTTGATTTTCATCAATAAATACATTAAGTCCTCTTCACATTCTGCAAGCAAAGTTGTATCATTTGCATATCAAAGTTTGTTAATGAGTATTCTTCCAATCTTGATGCAGAATCCTTCTTCATACAGTCCAGTTTCTAATAGTATTTGCACAGCATACAGACTGAATAAGTACAGTGCAGGAATGCAACCCTACTGCATACATTTTCTGATTTTAATTAATCTTGTTCTGTTTTAGCATCTGCCCATTAGCCTATGTACAAGTTCTTCAAGAGCAAAATTATATGTTCTGAATTCCCATTCTTTGAAACCTTATCTATAATTTGTTATCATGCACATAGTCAAATGTCATTATATAGTCACAAAAACACAGGTAACCATCGTTCTGGTATTCTCTGCTCTCAGCCAAGATCCATCAGTTATGAATAATGATATTCCACATTTTTCATTCTCTTCTGAATCTGGAGTGAATTTCTGGTAGTTCTCTGTTGCTGCACTTCTACAATCATTTTTAAATTATCTTCAGCAAAATTTTACTTGTGTACATTATTACGCATAGTGTTTAATAATTACTGCATACATTTTTCAACAGTATAAACAGCCACTATACATGTGAACATCACCAAATGGAATACACCGGAATCAAATAAACAGCATCCGTGGAAAGAAACCAGCGAGAAATGCAACAGCATCAGTAAGAACAAGGCCAATGTACGAGGCAGAACAGACAGTCATTTGATTATTTACAAGCTCTTTTTGAAGAAGAAAATTAAAACAGGTCCACAAGATCCAACATATGACCCAACTGACTCTAGAGGCAATTTCAAGAACAGAAATGACACACTGAAGGGTAATGACTGAAGACCAATGAGTTGTAAGATATCAAGAATATCATTTAAGAAGAAAGAAAATGTCATTAATAAGACAGGAAATGAAGAATAGAACAAAATGGATGTCTGAAGAAACTCTGAAACTTACTCTAGGATGTAGAAAGCGAAAGTAAATGGAAGAAATGCTAAAATAGAATACAGATGAAGAGAAATGATCAAAGAGTGACTCAAGAAGACAAATTAAAATATTACAATTAAATGAGCAAAAATCTGGGGTCAAAAGGAAGAAATACACTCAATGCTTCTCAATTTGAAGAAATGGAAGAAAAAAACGTAAAGTTTTGAATTGCAATATTGAATGATTTTATGAGCAAAATACTGAGCAATGCAGGAAGCACCAAAAGATGGAAGAAATACACAGAATCACTGCAACAAAAATAAGTGGTTGACATTCAAACATTTCAGGAGGTAGCATATGATCAAGAACCAATGGTATTGTAGGAAGAAGTCCAATTTGCACTGAAGGCACTGGTGAAAAATAAAGCTCCAGGAAATAACAAAGTATCAACTGAAATGTCTCAACAAACAGATGCAGCCCTATAGTTACTCACTTGTCTGTGAAAAAAATCTGGAAGACCTGGTTAACTTACTGGAATAGATCCATATTTTTGCCGATTCAAGGAAAAGTGAACTCTGCCCAATCCTGTCCCCTTCTCACAACTGTTATGCTTGAGCCCACTGTTACTGCCACTTATTGTCAAGACGTCTCATATTCCTTTTTTTTATTGATTCTCCACATTACCAAGGATGATGTCCCCTCCAGGGACTGTTCCTTACTGACAACATGTCCAAAGCAGGAGAAATGAAGTCTTATCATTTTCACTTCTAAGGGGCATTCTAACTGTACTTCTTCCAAGACAGATTTGTTTGTTCTTCCAGAAATCCATGATACATTCAACAGTCTTGGCCAACACCATCATTCAAATGCATCAATTCTTCTATGGTATTCCTTATTCACTGCCCAATTCCATATGCATGATGAGATGTTGAAAGCGCCATGGATTGTGTTAGGTTCACTTCAAGTTCTCAAAGTGCCATCTTTGCTCTTTAACATTTTACAGAGGTTTTTTGTAGCAGATTTGGCCAATGCCAAACATCATTTTATTTCTTGACTGCTGCTTCCAGTCAAGCAAAATGAAGTTTTTGACAACTTGAACCCTTACCCCATTTATCATGATGTTAAACATTTACTGGTCATTTGTGAAGATTTTGATTTTCTTTACATTAAAATTCAATCTATGCGGTGAGCTGTATTCTTTGATCTTCATCAGCATGTATTTTAAGTTTGCTTTGCTTCCATCAAGCAAGGCTGTGTAAGCTACAAACTGCAGGTTTTTAATGATTCTTCCTCCAATCCTGATGCTATGTTCTTCTTCATATAATCCAACTTCTTATATTATTGGATCAGCATGAAGATTAAATAAGTATGGTTAAAGTGTGACACATAACTTTTGTTATTTTAAGCCATTCATTACCCCTTTTTCTGTTCGAATGGCAGTGAATTGTTCTGGAATACCCATTTTGTTATGATCCATACAGATGAATGCCTTTGCTTAGTCAATAAAGCACAAGTTAACATCATTCTGATATTCTCTACTTTCAGCCAAGATACATTTGACATCAACAATGAGATCGCTAGTTCCTAATCTTCTTATGAATCTGACTTGAATTTCTGTCAACTTGTTGTTGATGTATGGTTATAACCATTTTTTAATTATCATCAGTAAAATTTTACTTGCCATGTAAACTATCACTCAATTCACAATAAAAAAACTTTTTTTAAAAAAATGTAATAAGTAAGAAATCATTTCTTGTCTAAAAACCCAAGATCTAATGATCCATTTTATAAATTAGTGAGAATTTAAAGAAGTATTTCCCTACTTCATTTTATAATTTCTGCTTATAGGTTTAACTGTTGAAGCAAAAGAAAGGAATCTTTGTATTAAATTGTTTAAATTTGTTCATACATATGCTTTCATCATTTATTATTACAAATAAACCAAGATATCACAACAACAACAACAAATTTTGTTTGCATAATTGACACACAGGTCATCCTTATTTCATTAGTTATATGATGTGTTTATGAGTAAACACAACATGCCCACTATATAAAAAGAAGTTACTATAGTACTTTCGATCGTGATGTGCTAGTGAACCAGTAAGGCAGTCTTCTGGTGCAATGGTATGGTTAAGCAGTCAGTGATGTGAACCGGTCAGCTGCTCAGGAAGAAACATTTAGCAGCCTGCTCCTGCAAACATTTCAGCCTGGAAACCCTAAGGAAGCACTTCTACCTGTCCTTTATGGTTGTGATCAGTTGGAATTGAATAGACAGAAAGGGATTTCTGTGTTTGTGGGCCATTTTTGTTGTTTTCTTTACTAAAATACTTAGTTTACAGCAATGGAAGTCCCAGGATGGTGCTGTGGGTTAATGCACCAGACTACAAAGTCAGTTTGAACTGCAAGGTTGGCAGTTCAAGCTCACAAGCTGCTCTTTGGAAACCCTATACAGGGTTGCTATGGATCAGAAATGACTCAAAGGCACTTAACGACAACAATAACAACATATAGGAAGAAACTTATTCTCCTTCCCCCAATTCCTCTTTTCCAATTTCTGTCTCAGTAGAATACCATCCTATTTCCCCAAACACTGAAGCTAAATGTGGTGAATCTTCCATCCTTCCTTTATTGACTTATTTACTTAGAAAACTCTGGTACCCACCACTTCTCCATTATTCTTACTTATTGATGAAGCATCCTAATTCACAGTGCTCTTTCTTCACTCTTGAAGTTTTGAAGTGCTGCTGTAGGACAAGCACTGTACTGCAAACCTCAAGGTGTGTGGTTCAAACCCAGTAGCCACTCCTCAGAAACCCTATATAGGGTTATTATGAGCCAGAAATGATTAAATGGCACTTAACAACAACAATAATGGGAGAGTGTTGCTAGGACTGGAAAAGTCAGAAGCCCTAAGAGTGGTGGTAGTGGTGGTGTGCCATCGAGCTCGTTCGGACTCATCGGAACCCTGTACAGGGTTTCTAAGTCTGTAAATCTTTACAGAAGCAGAAAGCCTCATCTTTCTGCCATGAAGCTGCTGCTAGATTTGAACTGTTGACCTTGCAGCTAGCAGCCCTAATAACAGTCTTGCATAATTTCTGCTTTCTTCGTGTTAGTTTTGGACCCACCTGCCTCTGGGACATGCAGAATTTAACTTTGTGTATGGAAAATTCTTTATCTGAAAGTTCCACTGATGCTGTTTCCAGCTATCCCAAATATGGATGTCTTTATAAATAGCATATCTCCTCAATTAGTTTTGACCTAGTCAGTGAGTTCCTGTTTTACTATCAAGCAGTAACCTATTTGATATATTTCTATAG